ATTTCCACTCTTGGATCGAAGATTGTCGGCTCGTTGATCGTACATCTCGGCGGAGCAAACGATTCGAGAGATAAGGGGATGAACCTTTGAAAAGCTGCCCGATCGAAAACACCTCTCTGTTTGCCCGGTGGCCGCGGCGCGTCTCCCGTCGAACAAATGTTGCCGATCGTTCGGCATCCGCGGCAAACTGCATTGTTTGATCGCGATAAGGCCATTGCACCGCGTAATCGGAGAGCAAATATCGATTTAATGGCGCGCGGATTCCATTAACGCGCTCGCCGTCTCGCTCGCTCCGTAGATTAGACCCCGGCGTAGGAGATAGGGGTCTAGGATCCGGAGCACTGATCAGCTAACTAAATCCACCTTGCAATTATATCGTGTAAAGCTAACCATCCACAAAGCAAGACTTCTGATGGAAGAATTTCACGGTGAACACGGATGTTCAAAATAAATCCCAGATCAATCAGGACTTAGCATTGAAGACCAGAACTACCAAGCAGTAAAACTATTTGCATTGGAAACAAACTGCAAGGGTCCATTTATTGAGACTTCATACGTTAGCTTCTTATATCCAACTCGGTTTAGTTCCCTAGAGAACCATCTTTTCGATCGTTGCAAAAGAGGAAATCCAAAACGAGTCATCTCGACTTAGCGGTTCTAGGGTTAATGGCTAACGGATTAGCGTCCTCTAATCGAAATATACTAGCATCGCCGGGAAAAAACAGTGCACCGTTGCAACGAAAACTCGCTGGCATTCCCGGCAGTTCGGATAACCGAGGTTCCGTATCGTACACGCAGGAATTTGAGCCGCGCCGGTTCCCGATATGAAATTCTGTTTCCATTAGAAATGGATCGATAGAGGATTGCGGGTGGAAAGGAGCGAGAGAGACAGTGAGAGAGCGCTTCCTCTGCTCGTCGCCGCGTTGATAAACGGCTATCGGTACGGAACCGCGCCGCGACTGGAATTCTAGGCTGTTATTTTACTCCGCGTGACCGGGCACCGGAGGGAGAGAGAGGCGTCCCCACCCCTGTCCGCGCACGTGAGAACGTGAATACTTCATGGGGCGTCGGTGAACCGCGGAGGAATGCTTTACTACCGAGAAGAAGCTCTCGCCATTTTCCGCGGTCGCGCTCCAATTTTAATTAACACTGGCTTTACGGCCATTTATCCTGCGCGTCGCGCTATTGTTCCTAGAACGATCGATGTTCGTTCATTTAGATCTCGGAAATTAGAGATTTAACACTAAAACAACCTAATCCGTAAAAATGGCGGGCTTCCGGTTTCTTATTTCACGATTACTGATGTCTTAACACACTCGCGACCGCTGATGCGAACTCACGTCTTTTCAAATTCTATTCCTGGCTGCGGCTGACGTAGATTTACGGCTTTTCAAATATAATAGCTTCCAAAATGTTTGGTTCTCCTCTGCTTCTCCATTTGCGGCTTCCACGGAACACTCTTAATTTCAAACATATCATTAAAAAGACGTTTATTTTAAAACAGATTCTCTAATTTTTGTCGTATGTTTTAACGTTAGAAATTCGCGGCAATTAGTTTAAGATTTTCTTCATTCTCACCGGTAATGGGGATTGCATATTAATCATGTTTAGAGCTCGGTTGTTCCAGTGTTAAAGGTGGACGGTTAGGATACGTATTCGTGCAGATACATCGATCGAAATCGACGTAAACAATTTACGAATAACGTTTATAAAATTTAATACGCGTCGAACTGACGCGTTCCGTAAACCTATATGGTAACAACATTGTATTCGATGGAACGCAGTCAGTGCACGCTGCGAACCACTCAAAAAGGGGTGGGTTCTCGCGGAAAATCAGGAACGCCGAATACAAATATACCCGATACACATGTATTTGAAAAGATTCCGTTTGAATTTCAGATGCCATTATCGAAGAATTGGCTGGTATTATCGAATATTCATTGCTTATCGGTTCTTGTATAAACAAATGTAGGTGGACATTGAATTTAATAAATTTTGTATAGCATTCTGGAGAGAAATTTTGTATCTATACGTTTTCGAATAATTTTGTCCTTGTGATTACTGTCTTTGTAATATTCTTGTACTGTTCGGCTGGAGACACACCGTATATCGGCTGCAGGTGGTCGTCTAAGCGGTTAGCCGGCTGATAAGGAGACCACGCGCTGATTTTAATGAAACTTTGTAGGAAGGTAATGGTCAGTCGTATTCTAACAAGGAGAGAGAGCCAAGTGAAATGGTGGTCATTTTAGATCAGGGGTTGTCAACTTACTTTCCATGGAACTCTAAGATTTCCCCGAAACTGAAAATCAGCATTCGATAATAAAATTTGACACGATCTAAAAGCTGATAAACATTGACGAAAGTGGAACACAAAATTCGGTCTAAATGCAACCTAACGTTCATGTTACAAATGCTTGATCTTCGTTGTGAACGTGTATTCACGACGTACTAGCAATTCGTATCTTTCCATTAGCAAATTACTAACGAATAAAATAACTTCGAAGAACAGTTGCGCAGGAAATCATGAGATAACACGTTAAAATGTGGCGTGAAGCGAAATAGGGTTAGAACGGAGTCCCGAAGATAGTGCTTGTTCCGCGGCGATACGGGTTTCACGTCCACCGGGTGATTAACAATCGGCTCTTATCTGTTCGGACGATTTACATGATTCAGTCGCATCCGATGATTACAGCACGAACGCGACGCCGCGTTACCGTATCGTTCGAAAACGGATTACGCTGTGTTTTTATATAATAGGATTACATCGACCTAACAAAACCAATGAAAACCTCCCCGCGAGTCGATCTAATCCCCGAGGAAAATATGTTTAAATATTTTCTATGCTGCAAGTTCGATATTAACCGTTTGCACTCGAAGATATTTCATTAGAAGTATTCAACAATTTCTGACGAGATGCAGACGAAGTTTTTTGAATCTCAACCCCTTGCCCTACAATATCGCCTCAGACTCGCGGTGAAGATTTCAAACAGAATTTAGGAAATATAAATATCGCTTAATTCTTCCAATCAGAATTGTATATTATTTTTCTATTATTAATTGTAATGCTTCTGAGTAAACATAAACATAGAATAAGTGTAAAATTTTCCACCTTTTGTAAGGAAGCATAAGGAACAGAATTATTTTATTTCAATACTTCACATAGTGATGCACAAAGTTCCATGTGAAATATTAAACTTTACCATTTTGCAGTATCGAATCCAGTGGTGACAGAAAGTCACCTCTCGAGTGCAAAGGGTTAAAGCCATCGATCATTCGTCCGGCAATTGGACAAACGCTCTAATTCATTTTAGCGATCCACGTTTCGGTTGGATTCGCAAGACGCAAGAAAGTTGAAGGAGGGATCGCCACGATGAACGTTAATTTCCCGGTTTCTGTTACGCTGTATAAATTGCTCCCATTTTGCGGGACTTTCATGGTTGCTGTTTCTGTCGTCGCGCTAATGATGTCAGATAATGGTCACTCGCGGATGGAGATATTGCTGGTCTACTCGCCGCCAGCATTCGTCGTACATAGCCGGAAGTATGCTCGCGGCGTTGCGAGCCATGTCTGGCTTCGTGTCGGGAATTACCGTAGTTATATTACACGTAATACGTAACGATTGTTGTTCATCGGTTGTTTCCCGAATCTGACTATTCTTGTCCGAATTAGTTATTATCAGATTATATCATATAAAATATAGAATTCCTCGTGTCTCACGATCTTCCCTATTACACAAACCTTTATTCATCGCTTGGAACAAATACGAAGATATCTGATATCCTCGTTGTTATTAAACCGCAAATGCAAAATCAAAATTTTCTGAAGCAATTGAAACAGCAATTCGATGATTGTTAAATAGAAATTGATTTTCTTTCTTAAGAAATCTACGAGGTTGAAAATGAACTAGTAATTTCCATAAATCCTCAAGTTTTCGATATTTTTAGGTAAACGTTCGAAGTAAATTGTGAATGTAGTAAAATTCTTCGGAAAGCATTCATAGTTGATAGAACGGTCATCATAGAACATCACAGAGCGATCGGGACACTCGAGCGGTCCTCAGATTGCAAGAAACCGATGACGATTCGATCGATCCCTCGCCGATGGCTATCGTCATTTGTCGCTCGTTTCATTTGTTCGACGGTGGGAAATGAGGTTCAGTGTGAATCATCAGAGCCTTCGTTCCATCTCCGATACCTCGATCCGTTTTTCAAGTAAACACGTCCTCGTGTAACTTTCGCTATCATGATTTTTGCATGGTCGGTCCCTCTCAAAAGTCGCCCGGATGACCGTTAATTGCCGCGGATAAATGAAACTGGACAAAATTTCTGGGCAACTGGCACACCACTAAGAAACACACAAATGACCAGTCTAATTCGCTCGTGTGCATCCTGGTAAAAATCGTCACCGATGGTCCCGCGTACCGAACGTTTTTAACAGGCCCCTTGACTCAACCGCCTTGAACCGTATTCTCCAAACGAATGAGCAAAGAAGTGAGCCGATAAATTCCTATCACATTCGACGTTCAAAGTAGATCCTGATAACAGCGCAAGGTTCCTCGGTTTGAGATGATTTGGCTCACTAAACATAGGTTTGTCTATTGTTCAACTGAAGCCCTCTCTACGATGAAATTCAAGCTTATAGTGTTAGCCAATTTGGGCTGAAATTCGCGTAAATCAGTAATATTGCGGGCTTGTATTTTGTTGTATAAGAGGTCTCTTGTGATATAATAGGGATTAACAGTGAGGTGCTATTTTCACCTGAATAGTTTTCTCCGCGAGAGAGCAACTTCTGAGGTGAAGTGTAGCTCTCTCGCGGAGTTTATTGTACTTAGGATATACAGTAAAAGCGATCGTATAGAAGGTCATTGAGACATCATTTTGTAGTGATTAGTAACACGGAAAAACAACAAGAATATTTATAGGAACAAGTTTTATTTATAGTTTTTGTAAATTAGATTGTAGTGGAAGAATAGGTAATAACGAGGGTTTGTTTTGTTACAGAAACATCCAGGATATCATCCAGAGGGAAAAGATCGGTGTACAGCAAAGGTGGCGGTAGTAGGACATTGTCCAAGCGATTCATAAACGGCAACACCATCACCTTCGCACGGTATAATCGTTCGTTGCGAGCAACCAGCGAGTTAACCACTCCAACCTGGTACCCAGGTATTCTTAGTGGCACAAGCAACGGACAGGCAGCGTGTATGATCATTGAAAACCACCCCCCTCTGCTCACCAAACCGAGGCAATATCTACATCAAGATACCACCCAACGATTTCTGAACCACCTGGTCCTGCCTAAGCACAGGACCTCAAAATTTTCCAGGTGTGTTTCATCGCTTGATCCTTCAGCAACCGTGGAACAGAATGTACACTTGAAAACAATGATGAGACAATAAGATAGTAGATTTAGTGGGAAATAGATCCAATGTTGTCGCTGATTGCTAAACTTAGCCGATTTCCTTTGTATAGTCTCACTAGATTTAATATCTCATTGTATCTTCAAGTGTGCACATTTGGAATCTAATCTTGAAATATGCTAGTGGTACAATCAGGCTCATGGGAAATCCCTTTACTGTAAGACTTTGCAACGAGCATGTTTCAGGATGAAATTCCATGAGTATACTTTAATTATATAGAAGGGATTAGACGACCGATTAAACGAATAATCTGTTTCAGTAATAGGCATCGGAAGCTACAGTCGTTCAGAGAAACGTGACTGACGTCAGCGGGTAGTGCGGCTTGCCTTACCGCAGACAACGAGAATCACCCTGACTCGACACGTAACGAGCTACCATCGGGTAGCCATTGCCTGGCAACGTCGCTGCACAGCAATCAAACTGCCGCTGGGAAGCGTGGAAAGTAGATCGAGAAGGACAAGGACGAAGACGTTACCTACTTGAACGAAGCAACGATAGGGGCCGGAGGGACCAGTGCAAGAGAAAGCCCTAGCGAGACAAAGGGAGGAACGCACGGCTTGAACCGTCACTCTCTCGATTCGCGTGGTTCGTCGATACTCATTCACAACGACGTCTCGTCCAAGGTTGCGGACTTGCTCGAAGGGAGGCATTAAATTAACAGGAAGGTACAGACGGGAAGAGAAGCAGTCACCATGGGGAGCGTGAACGTGAATCGCAACGTCAGCGATGCGTTTTATCGCTACAAGATGCCGCGGATCCAGGCGAAGGTCGAGGGCAAGGGTAACGGCATCAAGACCGTCATTGTGAACATGGTCGACGTGGCGAAAGCCATTGGCAGACCTGCCACCTATCCTACAAAGTACTTCGGCTGTGAGCTTGGAGCACAGACCCAGTTTGATTTCAAAAATGAACGATTCATTGTAAACGGTTCACACGACGCCATTAAATTACAAGATCTGCTGGACGGTTTCATTCGGAAATATGTACTCTGCCCGGCCTGCGATAATCCTGAGACCGAGCTAGTCGTAAGCGCGAAGAAATCGACTATCTCGCAGGGATGCAAAGCGTGTGGCTATCACGGATTATTGGAAAGCAACCATAAACTGAATACCTATATATTGAAAAATCCACCGAGTCTGAATCCAGCAGTCCAGGGCAGCTCATTGACGGAGGGGAAACGAGGTAAACGTTCGAAACGAGCGAACGGTGACACCACTACTACCACCACTACTGCCACCGCAAACGGTGACCGATCTGGTTCTCCGGAAAACGAGACTAGCGCCAAAGACATCGTGGTTGAGGTTCCCGAGAAAATTCCCGACGAGGAAGGAGACGATGTTAATTGGGCGGTTGACGTCTCGGAAGAGGCGGTCAGAGCTCGTCTGCAGGACCTGACAGATGGAGCGAAGGGAATGACCATCAGCGATGACCTCGATAAGACTGAAAAAGAGAGGATGGACATGTTTTATAAGCTAGTTAAATGTCGTCGGGATGCTGGCCAACTGGACAACCATAAGGAGCTCGTCGCTGAGGCTGAACGGTTAGAGATCAAGATGAAAGCGCCGTTGATCTTGGCTGAGTTACTCTTCGATCAAAACATTGCTGCTCAAGCCAAAAAGTACCGAGTACTGCTGCTTCGTTTTACCCATGATGATACTAAGGCACAGAAGTATTTAATTAGAGGAATCGAGCAAGTGATAGCTTTGCACAAGGATACCTTGATGTCTAAAGTACCCGGCATATTGAAGGTAAAAAAATGGATTAACAAACGTGTGTGTAGTTAATAGATTAGGGATTATTTGAAGTTGATAGCTTCATGGATTGCTTTTCGTTTGTAGCTATTTTATGATGCGGATATTCTGGAGGAAAAAGCTTTATTCGAGTGGTCGAGTAAAGTCACTAAAAAATATGTATCAAAAGATTTGTCTCAAGAAATTCACGATAAAGCCGCGCCGTTCATGACTTGGTTAAAAGAAGCAGAAGAAGAGGATTCAGAGTCGGAGGAAGAAGACGATGACTTAGAAGTCAGTATAAATTTAACAAAACTTTTCGTTAAATGCAGTTTAATTGAATGATGATAGATTATAATAATTTCTTTTCTTGTTTGCAGATTGAATACGATGACAGAGCTAAACAGTCGTTAAAACCACAACAATCACCGACTGTGCAGAAGCCTGCTGCAGTTAATGCAGACTCGAATGACGAAGATGATTTTGATATTGATGCCATTTAAAGATGAAAAGATGCTCAGTAGTCGGACAATATTATAGAAAGAAAAAGATGGAAAAATGCGTCCGATAAACAATGATTAAGAATCGTTTCTCAGATGATACAAAGAGTCGCAATGCAATCTCTTATTATACATAGTATTTTGTTATTTTAGGCCAAGAAGTGATTGTAATGCCATTACGATTTATGAAAAATTTTAACTGTTTCCCGAGTTTAGCAATATTTATCTGTACGATAAAGATACTTTTAATTGTTTTTAAATAAGGTAATTACGAATTACCTGACATCATTATTCCTAATTATTATTCAAAGGTTTTAAAACAATCGATGCTTCTATACCTTGATAATGTGTCTCTTTTAGAAAAAGAAACAAAAACGATATTGATAGTTCTCCACTGTTACTGGGAAGTTGGCCTGCTAAAAGCGTTCTCTATTGTATCTATTTACTATTCAAATAATAATTATTCAAATAAATATGGTTTACTGCAATTTATCCTGGTTTTGTATTTAATTGGATTCCTGACTCGTCTCTTCATTGTTTCCTTCCTTTTTATTTTAATTATAGTATAATGTTACATTTTTATCAGATTTTAAGATAACTGTAAGTACATTCATAGTCATAATTATGATTTTTTGTCATGACTTATACTTGTTTTTACGAAAGAAGAGCCCTTTTAGACGATTACACGTGGATATTTAATTTATACTCATTCTTGTTAGCTTCTAGTAAGATTTCCATGAAAAAGTAAAATAAGCACAAAATTTTGATGTTCGATCTATTATTACGTAAACCTTGTTTATGTAATATTTATCATTACTAATTAATATTCTTATTCTGGCATTGCAGTGTCTTAAAAAAATTATTCAACTATTTATATTATTAGAAAAAAACTTTTAACCCGTGTGAATTGCTCATTACACGTCATAGTTCAAAGAACTTTTTTAGAAATGTACTTAATATCAGTTTCATTTATTATTTCCAATTTTATACAGTCTTTTTTAAAATAATAGTTCAACTAAAAAAAGAATGAATATTACTACAATTTTTATTACAGAAACTCTACTTTATGCATTATGTATCAGCCTTAAGGTATTATCTTGTAAATTACCTTGACTTTTGTGATTAACCTGTCATCTGTCAGCTTCTTGTTCTCGCACTGTACTTTGACCCATAGAAATAAATATGAATTAAAAAAGAGTGTAACGTGATAAAGATTGAAGAAATTAATATATTGTGAAATTCTTATTTTAAAGAAGAACATGGGTAACAGATCGAGTTTACTTTTACGGGAAGAGGAAATAGCACAAATCCAGGAGGCCACAGGATGTAAGTTTTATTACATATATTTATATATCTGAAATATTTAGAATTATTAGATTAAGATCTGTTTCATACAAAATAACGTAAAGTCTGTGTGCTATTACATTTATGACATTGAAAATGTGTTCTTGTAAGTTGAATTTAGGTTGTGTTTAACTAAACTGTAATGGAATAAGATCTAACTTAGGGAATCGAATTTATGCAATTTAGTAGTGCAGTTCTACTTAGTGCGCAATGCTTTTAACCTAGTACTAAAATTATTATTTATTATAATTCCAGTTACACCAAATCAAATTGAACGATTGTATAGTCGTTTCACAAGTCTTGACCGTGGAGATTGTGGCACATTAAGTCGGGAGGATTTCCTTAGAATTCCAGAATTGGCAATAAATCCATTAGGTGAAAGAATTGTGAATGCATTTTTTGAAGAAAGTGGAAATGACAGGGTTAATTTTCTACAGTTCATGCAAGTTCTAGCTCACTTTAGGCCCATTAAGAAAAATAGTCCTAATAGGTTGAATTCCAGGCAACAGAAGTTGAAGTGTAAGTTTAATATTAGTTTCAGTCATACAGAACAATAGTAATATACTTAAATAATCTTTGGCTTTTTCTAGTTGCTTTTAAAATGTATGACTTGGATAATGATGATTTAATATCAAAAGATGAACTTTTGGCTATTTTACATATGATGGTTGGAGCAAATATTAGGTAAGGATTAATTCTGATATATTAATACTAATTATTAATCATGAGTTATAATAATTATATCTTTATTGTAGTGAGGAACAGTTAACTAGTATCGCAGAGAGAACTATATTAGAAGCTGATGAGAATGGTGATGGAATGATATCATTTAAAGAGTTCTGTAAGGCACTAGAACGAACAGATGTGGAACAAAAGATGTCTATCAGATTTCTTAGCTAATTTACTTCACTGTTTCTTATAATAAAGCACAATTTGCTGATGAGTTGGAAAGATGTACTAAAACTTATCAATTAATAATAGTGAAAAGGAAATACTTTCTTTTGTTATGTATAGAACCTTATTTATTTTACATAGAAAGATAATTGAACAATCTGTAATAATCATTGATGCATTTAGATTTCATATTTCTATGAAAATGGGTATAATTTTTATTAATAAAAAAAGTTATATATTTGGGTATCGTTGTTATAATTTATAGTATATAAATTCGGTAATTATTACAAGTCTTGGTAACCTACAGTTTACAATGCCTAATACACAGTTTGTTTATATGCCTTGTTACATTGTTCGTGGTGTACCATTGGAAAATAAATTAGTCTACAGATTGAGACATTTTTAAAAACCGACGACACGGGATATTTAAAATATGTATTACATTAATACTATGTACTTTATTTGTACATGAGTCGTACCTCGACTTTTGGAAAAAAATAGTCGTTGAGGAATTACATCTTATTTTTTTATTAATCACGTACCTCCATTATAACCGCGTAATTGCTCTTCTGTATATATAAATTCGTACCGCACCTACAGTATCCTTATCGATAGATTGCAACTGAGTATCTCACCGTAAAGCACGAAAATGCTTTTAAATTTTGTTTAAACAAAACGGTGAGATAACACTTGTCTTTTGTATTTGCAATTTAAGCTGTTGATGAGACGGCCAGCTTCTTCAAATGTTCCATGAATACTTGCAAACTGACGTCGTCAGTTAAAACAGGCGCTCCGCTTTCCTAAATTAATACAAGCATTTATTACAATTTGCAGTTCGGAAATATGAAACCAGTGAAAGCTGGAAATTCTTAAACCCAAACCAGTGCGAAGATAAGAAATAATCATAGGTTACAGTTATATAGAATTTCAAAAGAAAAATGTTTGACCCAACCACCAGTGAATTGTGATAATGCTATTGTATATACAAAGATGTTATATATTTTATGACTGTTTAATAATGACAAGTGGTGTTTACAGATAGATCGAGTTGCGCCTGTAGTAATATAGCTGTAGAATACTGAAGTAACAACTGATATCTGTTAAAAACTGTTAGATGTTAAAAAAATATTGTAATGAATAAATATTTTATTGTGATGCTGTAATAAAACGTAGATAGTTTAAATAGTTGCCCCGTGTTCTCCCATTACCAAAGCAATTAAAAGCAAATGTGACAAAATTAAAAAAAAAATAATCAAATGAATGAAAAACACACCCCATTGGGTATCGGCATCCCCTGGTAACAGGAACACGGTCACATAAAAAAATATTAGTTACTGCGACTGATAATTTTGTGGTATATAATTATACCACGAAAGACGAGTTTTTGGTATATAATTGATTCGAAATATTAAATAAAAAGGATATGATACACATGTCATATATGATAAATATTTTGTAACAGACGAGAAGTTTACTTACGGCTCCATAGGCATACATATTATTGTGGGTTTGACTGGGATTCACTTTGCTTAGTAAGAACCTCGCTTGTGAACCACCTTGTTCAGTATCGATATATCTAGGTGCAGGGAATCTTCCAGCTAATATTTCTGCTGCATCATCAACAGGTGCTGCTAAGAGTTGCCGGAAGTTTTCATATTCTGGTAGATCTTGATATTTTAGTTGACGCCACTGCGCGATCGTCTGTAATCAACAGATACGAAGATGTTGTAATGAAGTTCTTCATTACTTGTCATTTCATAATCAATAATAAAAATTACTTCGCCGTGGAATATAAGTATTTGGAAGAAAGTGTCCATTAATAAGATCCTATCAGGTTGAATCGATGAAGTGTCTAACAAAACTGGTTCTGGAGGGCCACTGAATCCGTAACTGTACAAGATTGGTTGTACCATTATCAAAGAATTTGTTAAGTCTTCTCTCATAAGCATGTGTCTGTAATATTCAAAATTTAATTGATCTGCTGTCCCAATGTGTTAAATATTAATATCTAATTTTCCGTTTACCTGTAGAAGCTGGTTTCATCGGGGGAATTATTAAATACTTGAATGAACTGTGACCTACGAAGATGATACATAAACTGAGGATACAACGAAAAGTTTTCTGCAAGCCTAAAGCTATTTGGATCATCTTTAGCGTATTCGCCAAATTTCTGACACTGTAAGCAAACATTTTAAAATTACAAGTCATGTTACTATTACTTTTGTAAAAAGTTGAACATCGTAATACTAACTAGTCTAATGAGCATACGATCAACCCATCTCAAAACATCTTGTCCGTCATCGCTTTCTGCCCTAAAAACTGCTAGACGCGACATGAGGACAGCAGCTGCTTCTTGATCAAATCCGGCACTTATGTGATGCAAAGATGTCGATGCATCTGCCCAACTATAATCAAGTCCACGTTAAAATCAAACCTACTATTTTCTAATTATTTTACTTACTTTCTAGCAATTGTGGTGACTCTAATTCTTCGTTGACCACTGCTGTGTTGATATTGGGTAATAAATTGTATGCAGCCTCTTCCACCTTGTGGAATCGGCCCGGTATGTTGATTTACAACTTCAAAAAATAACGATGTAGTTGTGGACGGTGTAAGGGAACAGAATTTCCATTGACATGTGCCACCTAATCCTACTTCTTGCTCTCCTACACTCGCTCCTTTTACACCCAGAGAAACGCAAGGGCCGATTGCTCCAGAAACTTTAATTTCCCGAGAAGTTTTAACTTCTAATGTCGCATTAAATGCCATCTTTAAGTCTCCTTTACTATCTTTAGCGAATACACGCTGGAACGTTTGTTTGAACAAGGAAGAATTGAACGAATCTCCCATGACCATGTGTCCACCGGTTGAATTGCAACATTGTCTCATTTCTAGCAACCCAGTTTGATCAAGAGCACAGGAGTAGATGTCTATGATATGTCCATTGGTTGCAGCCCGTGACGCAAGGCCATCATAATGCTTTGTTGCCTTCTTCATATGCTTAGCATTATCCTTTTGAATGTCGTGATGTGATCTAATTGGCTGCCTCAAGTCATCTGTTACAACCTGACCAGGTCCTTGAGAACAAGGACCACCAACAAATAACATTATCCTACCAGAAAGATGTATGTATTATTTAATGTTAAAAGTGCTTGGAGGCAACAATTAAATATATAGTATATACCTAGCTCCGGTATTGGCATAACTAGCTTCTAAAAGACCAGTAGCAACAGCCAGTGCAACACCGGTAGATCTTAACGGACGTTTTCCTGGACCTACAGGCCAAGGATCACGTTGTAATTCTCCTAAGAGGTCTGTTAAACTCATGTCACATTTATGTACAGGCTGCAAAAAACGATTTGCCGGTGGAAGAGGCTGTCCGCCTGGTCCCCTCTGTTGATTCAGATTTTGGCCTGGTACTGGTCGGCCTATGCCTATAACAGATAAAAATGAATACATACATTATCATCTGAACTTAACAAATAATATTTAGAACTTACCTAACATATCCTGAACCTGTTTTGGCTGTAGGTCTTTAGTGCCGCGGAAAACATAACTTTTACTGCATCCTTCACAACCAAGTTCATGAACTTGAACCATTCTGCCAAAAGTGATAAGACCAATCAACGCATTGGGTGGAAGCAAAGAGAGGGACATTTGAAGAGAATCTTTAAGAGAACCCAATTCCTCCTCATCCATGCATGTATCCACAACCAATAAGAAAATAGGTGGCAAACATTGTGCTCTCTAAATGGAAATAAGAAACAAATGTATTAATATATAAATTGATATTAACAGCTTTGTTATTTTCAATCAGCACTGTCCAGTATATGCTCTTGAAGTTGTGATATTCTTATATTATTTTCATAAACATAATACTACATGTGTACACCTTACAACAGAATGCAATGTACAGCAACAATATATAAAGCTTCCCCTATGGACAGTACTACTTTAAACCTTAAATTTTTCGTACCATTATAGTATATTCAATTGTAGAAAATATCGGAATGAGTTCGGCAGGTTGGTGCTGCTCTGAAATAGCAGCATATTGTGGAGGAAACTATAAACATCAAATCATGTAACACATATATTAATACATGCTGTTTAATTTTGTGAATCTAAAAACTTGAGTGCATACTCACAGGATTCCTTTGAAAACACAGATTGCACACCCATAACTTAGCACGATAATCCACCTGGCACAATGGATTCAAGATTGCTCTGCAAGTAGACCTTGTACACATAACTGGATCATATTGTATAGGAGGAAGATCTGGTCTTTCTTTGATGGGCTGATATAATGTACCCAGTGGCACAAGTAATCTAGTGGCATCAATGCGGGATGAAGGCCAAATGTTCCAGGTAAAACGTACTCCATCACGGTCTTCATTTTGCTGAATGAAATCCTCATAGGTGGTCATCTTGCTGCAATCGCCAAAAACCATATGACAATAAATCTACAGGATATTTAGTATACATTAAGTATATTGTTTTTAAATATGTGACAAGTGTTAAGCTGTAGATAGGGGATTTAGGTTAGCACGTACCTGAGCGTATCGATGATACTCCTAAGTTCTCAATTACGTTATTGAAATAATTCAAAGCAACGCCTGTTATCAAGTTTTCATAATTGTAACATGGTTTTATAAATGAAACAAAACGACACTGTTTCACGTTAACAGCACAACTCGTGCCGTCATTGAGGCCACGTCACTTGAAGCTTTGGAAGAAATAGCGCTGGCGCATGCGTGGAGTGGCTTTTAATGATACAAAAATTGGAATTTGAATGGAAATTTGCACGGTGAAAAAAAGTGAAATTTTTGTTACTTTCGTGCATTATTATAAAATGGAACGTTAAGGCAGTCCAGTGTTTTTCTTTTTTCCCTTGATATTAAACTGGTCGGGTTGACGGTATTAACAATATTCTCTGGGTAAAATATTAAAATAAAGAATAAGCAGCACATTGAAGCCTTTATAGAAAAGTTCTCATAGTGGATACGATGTAATTATATTTGTTATTATTTTGTAAACGAGTATTAAGATTAGATTTAACAAAAAATCAAATTTGTACCTTCGCGAAGTGATAAGATTTTCTTCATCAATGAACAATTTTTAATGGTTACGGTTTCAAAATACTTGAATATCAGAAAAAAACATGATACTTTCAACTTTTAGAGCGGTTAGTGAAAGAAGAAATTGCCAAGTGTCATCAACAAATAAATCATGTTTAGCGTTTAGGAAATGGTAGGGATTCATTCAACCAATCAGCCGCAAAGTGATAACGACCGACTGTGAATAGACTTGGTTGAGTGTTTACCGTACGTATTTACTATTACTGCAACTCGTGCTGCAGTATAAGTTACCAGTGTGAGCTTGTACGAATTACAAGACAAGTATTCTGCCGTGGACGCGACAGTTTGAAACATAATAAAGTATCCATGTCACGAATGCTGCGAAGGTTTGTTCGCGACTAACCTCTGACACGGAGTAGACAGTTTTTTAAAAATGGATAAAAGGTAAGACACTATTTTTCATGTACATTAAGTAACAAAAGCAATCACGAATTAAGAATGTAAAAACGAGTTGAGTTTTTAATAGCAACAATTATATCTCGAACAAGATCTCCTGTAAATAAAAAATTTATGTACTCCAATTTTTTGGAGTCAGTATATAATTTAAGTATAATAATGATATAGATTTTTCAATCTGTGGGTATTTCTATATTTAAATGATTTGTTTTTTTGTTAGGTTGGACTCATCAAGGTCAAATTATCAAGAGGATGCTTCTGGCCACTCTAAGAAAACCAAGAAACGGTCTAGCAAAAAGAACAGTATGTTTTGTCCTTGGATAAACAATGTTCAGACTAATCAAAATAGTGATACATTACCTGGTATGGAATATCAGCAAGTGATGTGGCAATCAAACATACAGCAGAATTTTCAGAGTAACGGACAACGTCTATTTACAACAGCTTCTGATCCAAGCATGTGCGGCTATGCTCAAATGCCAATGACATATACTATGGAACCCGTTTCCTTGCCAACTATGTATAGATTGTATCAACCGGTACCATTTTCTGGTATTAGAACTGTTCATAATAGACCCAGACGTCATTACAATCAGAATCAGCCATTGAATTTGGGTGTGAATACTGTGGGAAATGGATATACAAGTTTACAGGAGAATGGAATGGAATCTCCTATGCCAGTTAACTATCAGAATGGAGATTACACTAGTTTACCACCCACTGCTAATAAAAATAATGGGATGAACGGAGATGAATTGAATTCAGAGCATCGTAGGTATTCTGATCCTGGTCTTGGGTCTGCTGAAGCACCTGTTCATACTCAAAGCGAAGATTCTGATAGTGTTGATAGTGGAAGTTCTATTACAACTATTGGTCGCAGCAATAAACTTGTTCTATCTTTGATCGAGCAGGTCTGTACTAATTTTAATTAATCACATCCAATTGTATATAAAACATTCCATAAGATTCTTATGTATCGCATGGTATTGGTTCCAGATGACAGAATTAAAGAAGAGCAATAGTCAATTATTCAAAGAATTAAATGAAACAAAGTCTGAGTTAGGCACTATGAAGACAAAGTTCGCGCAATGTAAATATAATACCTCTTCAGATTATCAGCCAGGAATGTTAGCAGGTAAATATTTATAAAGCCTAGTCTATTAATTTCTAATTCACCTCGCCGCAAACGATTACAAATTTGTTAATTGTTTCAGATCTTATCAGAGAAATTAGACAAGCTAATAAAACCTGTGAAGAAGGATTAGTTATTAAAGTGAAGTCCATCGTGGAGGAAAAGCTGAACCAAAGGTCGTTGGAAGTAACTAACTTAAGCGTATGTATCATTTTTAATTTTACGCTTCAATATAATCTCTAGTAACAGAACACTAAAATATTTATTGTACAATTGATCCACCTTTAAGATAATTGCAAAGCATTGAAAATATATCTTAAATATACATGCGAATTTTTTACAAATCTTTTCACGTGTACAAAAACAATGATTCTCCTAAGTTCGACACTCAAAAATGTCAGATTCCATTGCGTTTTCGTTATCATAGCAATGATTCACTGCACTGGTAACAAATTTTAGGAATTCTTCAAACCCTCGTTTGTCTCAAGAACCCAATTTAAGGCCAATGACTCACACCATTTGCCCATAATACTGACTCATTCTTCGCTGCATTTTTGTTCCATTCTCACACGATTTAAGTCACCTAAAGGAATTATTATATAATCGTACAAAACGATTTTATATTTATAGAAATTTCTTTCATTACGGGGATATAAGTAGGAGGAAGTTTCAAAGAAGAATAGAACTCGGACTGGAAAGGTAGATAACGTGGGAACGGAAAACAAAGCTAGGAAACCTTTCTCTCCGGACTTTGCAGTTAGGGTACAGTGAGATGTGCCGCCTTGGCCAACGCTTTCGGCATTTCCACGACGCGCTCATGGACATATTGTTTGCGTAGCATTCGTACGCTCTGTTTGATTAGGACCGCCAGGTGATCTTCGGCCTCTTCTCCCCTCCCCTCTTCTTTTTTACAATTTCTCTCCCTCGATTATCGTCTGCACGCGAATTTCCATCGATCTCTGCCACTTCCCGCAGTCCGTTGAATGTTGATTCTCTAGCGCATTGTTTGTGCGAGTTCTTATGCAATATTCGACTCAAGGGACCAGCGGTGCATTAATGAGTAACGTGCAAGAATGCCGTACAGGAGAAGTAAATTAATATTCCGCGTACGCTTGAGAGGAGATACATGATCTTTCTACTTGTTTCTCGAGAATAACTTCTTCTCCCATGCAATCAAGAATATGTTCTCCCTCACGGTTGTATACTAATTACCATCGTCCACTGGACTCGATTTAATTACCATGATCTAGAAGCATGTACCGTTTCTTCTCGTTTATTCAAAGATAGCCCAGAATAATCTTGAATAACATTTTTACGTTACCAAGGTGTTCTCTATCATCGTAGCCATCCACTAGACACCATCATCGATTCAAATAATTTCAATCTTCTTCAACAAATTTATATTTTAGATGCTACATCTTACTCCAGAAAGAACCAACGGAATAGGTATTTCGAGACTTTCCACGACGCGGAAAGCTGAGCACAGCCAATTTCACGAAGTCAGCGAATCGACCCCGAAGAATTGACTTCATCCCGTAATTGGGCGGGCAGACTCCTCCCATATTGGAGCCGGCCGTTGATAAAAACCGGTTGATACCGGAGAACCTAATGTAGACGTAATACGAAATATCCGTGACGCGGGTAAAAATGATTAGGTTTCACATGAGGGTGGTACCTTGCAAAGGGACGTGCGGTAAAGGGACGGGCAGGGGATAGAAGGGAGACGAAAGTATACCCCGGCAGTGGAGGGTGAAGCAGGGACGGAGAAGGGTGAAGGATGAGGCACTTAGCGGCTGTCACGGCCTCTCCCTTGGCCTCTTTCCTTTCCCTCTTTCCATGGTCTTCTCGGGTTTCAACCATCCATTAGCCTCATCAGCCGAAGCGATGGCCGTCCGCGCCATGGCTGCCTCCGTCGCGTTGCCAATCTCGTAATTGAACCTCCGGGACCTTCCACTTTCGTGCATGTAAATTTCCCTCCTCGCCGGCGACGCGCCCGATGGAGGCCACTCGATGCGTCCCGTCGCGTCGCGACGCGAATTTCGTGTTTTTCGCGCCCGCGACCACGACCCGTTGAATATTTCTCTCTTCCTGGCGGCATTGCGTTTCACGTCGGTTCTATTTTTTAATGGTTGGGCTACTATATTCGCGATTTGAATTTGAACCGAAGATTTTCAGATTTTTATCTGTGGAACTGCCAACTGGGTCAGAACGGCTCATTGGTGATTTCCTTTTTTGCAATTATTGCGGAGACATAGACGGAGAAGTTACTAGATCAATTGATTTTGCGATACATAAATATATTGAATTTTTAAAAAATGCATTCTTCTAGTTTCTGTAAAACGATAAAGGATAGTTAGTTTGATTGCTCGGTAATAGTGTTAATGGTTAGGTTTTCTTTCATGTTTTTGCGGAAAGTGGGAGGTGAAAGTTTGGAATTTATTTCTCAACTTGTTTTGGCTAATCAACCTTTGTTTCGAATTCATTGTTTTGTTATACCGTGGAATATGTTTATGATATTTTGAATGTTATTTAGACTTTGGTGTGTGAAGAATATTGGAGGATCTTTTAGAAGGGATGGCTTGTTGAAGAGTGTTCACGGTATTCGAGTCTTCGCTCAGTAGTTTACAGTTAATAATTTACTTCGCGAATTAGTAGATAAGTGGAAAGTTAGCGAAGACGCGCGAGAATACCACGGTGTAGTCGTAAACCGTTATCTGTTAAAAATTGCAGGTTACTATGTAAATTGTTTGATTTCTTTCGAAACGAGGCGTCTTATCTGCGGCATGTATTATTGTCTCCCTTATCTTTTATCTTTATCCTCGTTTCCCCACGATGGGTGTGAACTCGGTTCGCCGAGCAAAATCTTCTTCAACACCTCTGGTTAATTATTATTTCCTTTATTTTAATATGAAACGAATTTCAATGAGAACGTTATAAAACGAGCTATTCGCCAAACAATATAGTAATATTTCAACCCCTTGTTTCAAGATACCTCGAAACAAAGTTTGTCGCGTCGATTCAATCGAAACGTTTGATTTCTTTATTTGACTCGAGTAATATTTAGAATCGATTTCTTCGTTCCAGAATCAAATTCTGAAACTGATCGATGAGAAGGAGGAGAGCGAGAGGCGAATCGCGAAATTGGAGGAAGAGGTGGCCACCTTGAAGTTGAACGCAAAGTGAGTACTCATTTACGGATTGGTTGGGTTGTAGAAAGTTTGTACAATTGAACTTAGGCTTTGTTTTGTTGAAAAACTGAGCAAACGTTGCTGGTTGTGATTTCGTGACGCACAGATTTGGCACCGGGCACACAGTAAAGGTCGCAAAAACTTGTTAAATATTGTCGGTTCGGTGGGAAAACGGTGAATCTCCTTTGTCCAATGAATTATTTTACCGCTGCCTAAATGTGTACACTGTAACGTAAACGATTTTGTTCGAGGAATAATTATTTTTTGTAGAGTCAAAGCCTTAGGCACAAGAATCGTGCAGTTGTTTACGAAACATCGTCGCGGAATATTCTATTTTCCAAATGATTTCTCTTTAAACTGAAAAATTGTATAAATATGTTAATATCATTGATCGATAACGCGTTGTAGTCTTTTCTTCACGATTTCTCTACTCTTTTCCCACTGTTCTCCTTACTTTGATATCCCGCTATCTATAAATCTCACCACTTTTAGCAATACGAAATACTTTCATCGTTAAGAATGACAAAAGTCGTGTAACACGTTCGAAGAAAAGCTGCTAATCTCACTGTATTGTATATTCTTTACCTTTTAGCTGTAGTATTTACAAAATCAACCGGTTCACGATATATACACGATTTACACTGTCACAGTATTTTATCAAATGAAAGAAACCACTCTTTATTTGACGAAAACGCTTCGATGTCCCGTAGCGCAACGCCGTATCGCGAGCCTAACTACAGATTTCATTCGCTTCTATTTTTCCACCCTTAAAATTTCCGTTTCTAAAACCATCTAACACGGAACCACACCCCGTACACATTTTCCAAAATCATTCTCCAATTTCGCCAGTTAACACATAAAAATGCTTCAAGACCATTCCGCTGAAAAATATCTCCAAATTTAAAATTTCCTATAGAAGTCTCCTTCGCCTAAATAACACTCCCAAGTTCAAAAATCGACCTTATATTTCCTAAAAATATCATCAACAAAAATCATCTCCATTTCCGTCGACACACGGAAACGTTCGAAACCACTGAGTCTCAACTTCACCCCTTAAAAATTCAAAATAACATGAAAACTGATTTTCCTTCCTCACCAACTTCAAGCGAATGAACATACAATAATTTTTCCCTAATTCCTCCACCCGATACACGAAAATGAAAATCACTTGGTCCTAAGCCACTTCATACCCGACCTCAGCCCCCCACACCCCAAAGATCAAACAATCCGAAAACATTCAAGAATCGACTGATTTCTACCGAAACTCCAGAAGACTTTTACTTCAAACTCCGAAATCGCTCCGCATGCCGGAAACCACACAGCTCCCTCTCACCAATCTCATAGTACAAACAGTTACGCGGCGAAGAAAGCTCTCCAAAAACGCCCCGAAATCAGCTCCAAAAAAGCCCTATCCCGCCTCCGTGTCTAGCTCGGTGTAGAATCTGTATAAACGTAGGACTTGTGTTGGCACTTAGCAACGAGGGCCGCGAGATCGCAGCCTTCGAGGAAGAGACGCTGGCGCTGCGACGTGAGCTGCAGGAGGCGCGGGCGTCGAAGACCCTGGCTGAGACCCACGCGGCAAAGTGCGTAAATGCAAGACCCGTCACGCCTGTATCGTTCGAAACGCCCTACGTAACCAGCACCCCCGTGCGTACCGCTCTCTCAGACACCTGTAGCCTGATCCCGTCGGTACCCTCGTTCTCACTCCCGAGTCTGATCCCGTTCAAACGCAACCGGACCGCCGCGGATCTGGCGCAGCACCACGTGGCCGACAAGTCGAGTCATTACCGTACCGCTGACGGCAGTCCGATGTCGGATACCTGGACCATGGAAGACAACCGGGCGCTAATCACGAACACGCAGCCAGCTTTAGCTATCGGGGACGCGGATGAGGACAGCACCTTAGAGGACACCTCCAGCCTGCCCTCCACGGACACACCTCTAGAAAAGAAGGAAGAGTTAGCGCAGAAGCTGGCAGCGGCTCCTAGTGAGGCTAGAAACAACGAAGACAAAGAGGTCACCGTTGAACGAGCGAAAGAGGACATGGCTAAAATTGCTAAAGACGAGGAAGATAAGGCGGCCTCTGTTCAGAGTGTCGCAGACGCTGACGATGGGATCGCGTCTAGCGTATCCGAGAGGAAAGAGGCTAAAGGTTCGAGGAACGAGGCGGGTAAGGACGAAGGGATCGTTCAGCGGAGCCAGAGGGGTAGCTCGAAGAAGTCGAGGAAGAAGAAGGGTATGAGTAAGAAGTCGTTCAGCGAGGCGGACAGGACGTCTAGCGAGGGTGTCTGCCACCCGGTGAAAGACCGCAGAACGGTGAGCGAGGACGACAACGATCACGCGAGCCGAGCCATCACCGAGATCCCGGAAGTGACCGTAGTCGGTGGTGGCTCCTTCGTGCCGAAAGATCTCTGCTCGACGGGAATCCTGACCTCCAGAGTCCTGACAGCACCTTCACGCGCTACCTACACCACTGCCTACATTTAGGCTACGTACGCGCGGGGCCCCGGACGCGAAACGCCGCGCGCCACTTCGTCGCCGTGCCGCAATACTCGGGGGGCTTCAAGGGCTTGCTAGAGGCTACTACATGTACATGTCGAATAGCACGTAGGTCTATCGTTCTGGTTCGATCCTCGTTGGAACACTTCCCCCTCCTATCACTCTCCACGCACGCTTGGCCCTCGGCTTGGTCCACTCCCGTGATACTTTCCGCGAACCGATCGAAATGAACTTCGACCGTTTTCTGACAAGCAAATTTTGCGGACCGAACTTTGGATATTTTTGTAGATTCTTAGTGGAAAGATAGGGGTGGACGTCTCGTGGATGTACCGCGGACGTTTGTACAGATTCGTTTGTAAATTTGGGAACCGATTTGTAGAGGGTTGTTATTTTTATATTCGATATCCGCGTTTAAGGCATTTCTATTCTACTCGAGTTCAGCCGGTAGAGAGGTAATATCCGCACTCTAATTGTAAATAATTGATAGAATAAATGTTTCAGAGGACAGTATTCTCTAGGTTTTATGTATTAGATTGTTGATAATGTGAATCTCAGTGTCGATCAAGCCCTGGACCATCCCCTAAATCATTCTCCTTTATCAATACGCTTCTATCACGCGTAAGGAACAGAAGAAGAGTCTCGATTTCCACAGAATCTCCGTCCAAGAATCTTTATGCAAAGCCGCACGCACTGTCTTTATTCTTTACGATCAGTTTCAAGACTCTTCTTCTAGTTGAACTTCTAGTTGTGCATTCTGATAGTCTCAGGCGGAACGCGAGAAGCTGTATATTCCAAAGAAACGAGTTTTTACCAAATAATGGCAATTTGCTGCCACTTTAATGCGTCGACTGCGATATTAGTGGAAAACCTTAAAAATTCAATATTATTAATAAAACTCACAGTTTCTGCTCCAGTGAATACTAACATCGTAGTCATCGCGTTAATGAATGTCTTGCTTCCAAATTCCAATCGACGAACATACGATGATCTTTTTAATCTCGCTGCTTCCCGGGTTCCGGCTCGGAAATTGTAATTATATATAATCGTAGCGGTGTGTTATGTTGTGCGCGAGAACATGCGTGTGTGTGAGTATATGTGTGTGTGTGTGTGTGAATGTGTAAATTTGTGTAATGTAAATTAAGTCCCTGTCTATTGTTCAGCATGGCTTCGCAGCTTGTCTAGCATGCGTTCAGCTCACGTGTTTCCTTTTGTGTCAAAGCCACGCTCGTTTCTAGCACCAATGTTGCGTAACCGTGTGCCTCTGTTTCTCGTTTAATTTCGTAGCCGTGCTCGTGCCGGGGACGAGTCGTTGAACTTTTTCGACTCGGCTCGATCGTTCCAATCACATCCCGTCGACACGACGAACGTGCGGAGGCGATTCTTTCTTTTTGTAATATAGTCCAGGCCGTCTCTCTTTTTATTCTCGCGTGTACCACACTTTTGTGGCCCTGTTCTTTTTTCTTTTTTCTTCGGTCTTTAAAACATTCCTCCGACGATCGATGCAACGATCGAACGAGGGTCGCCCTTTCACCGCGAACATTATCTTTTCGTCCCCTCCCGTTAGGGTATATACGAATTGACAATCGAAACACGAAACGACTGACGATCATTTTTTGTCGAGAACGCACCAGTATTGCAAACAAGAAGAAAAACAAAACGATACGCTTTTTGTAGGTGTAAGAGAACGATTGGAGGCGCAGCGTTTCGTTTTTCGCCGACGATCTCCGGGACGCGCCATTTTGATAATTTCGTCGACGGTGGACCGATTCCCGCGTCTCGGTGCGTGGAAAATCATTTTTGAACGACCACCATCCAAGTTTTTCGTCTCACCGAGTTCACGTATTTTTCTTGTAGATCGTCGGGGATAGAAGCGTTCGATGCGAACCGTCGCCGATTGGTGTTGCACTTTCTCGTTGCGAATGCGATACAAATCGTCGTGTGTATGATCGGCACGTGAACGAGAGTTTTTATATGTCGCAGTTTAATAAACGGACCAGACTTGTTTGTATCAGTACCGTGTTCTGTGGCCGCTGCGACACGACCGAATCGCCACGGTACGGCTCGGATTACCGTCCACAGAGAAATCTTTGTTACATTTCTTCAGTTTCCAGAATTATAGAAATGACTACATCAGTTTCGTGGAACACACGCAAAGATGAAAGTATTCGATGTATCTTTTTAAGTCACCCTCAGTATTATCGCCGTATCCGAATTTCACGCGTCCAATTGCAACAATGGAAAATATTAAATTTCCATATTATCTCTGAAACGACGAATTCACTAAAGAATAGATTAAATATCTCACTCAATTCCTATCGATGTAATCGTGAAGATGCGAATTTGCGACTCTATATATCTATATATATATACATATATATATTAATGTCCAACGAACAAAAGATTCCCATTTAAACGTAACTTTCTTCTACAAAATAGTAAAGAAATGTTAAAAAGGAAAACAAGACTAATTACCGATCCGGACCGTACCGTTTTCTATATTCCTCACGCCATCGCGTGCGATCGCAGACCGAACGAGCATCCGAAGAAAGCTCGAATTTTAACGAAAGATCGTTGGAGGATACGTTCGATTCGATCCCGTCGCGTCGTTCTGGGCGAATATCTATGGAGCTATCCTTGGACGGATTCCGCACACACCCCAGTCCACTGAAGAACCCCTGTCCAACAAACCAACCCCCTTACACCGCACGAAATGGTCCCCGCCTGTATATTTGGGTCATGGAAAAACCGAAACCGCCGCTGGGATTAGGTGTTCTCTCTTGTTCTTCTAGCTGGGCAGCATGGCTTTCACGGCTGGCGGAAATCTGTTGCTTTTTTTTGCCGCTTCTAAACGAACCGCATTGCAGAGAAATTGTCTTGTCCGGGCCGGCTAGCGGGCGGATTCACAGCTGCGTGAACGCATAGGTAACGTGAATCGAACCGTGATATTTGTCAGACGGGAGACGCTGCTGGACATTCTCCGTAATAAGGTGATCGGTGGTGCCACGGACGGGGGAACGATCGATCGAGCGGTTCCCTCGGAGGACGAGGAGGAGGATGAATTCGACGGGACGGAGAGGCAGCGGGAGGACGAAGAGGACGACGGGGACGTCGACGGTGGCAAGGGAACCCCGTTCAGGGAGAAGATCGATCGATCCGCTGTGGAGAACTGTAGCAAGCTCTCTGGACCAGTCACTGATCTTTAGGAGGTTTGGCGTCTCTATTGTTTCAGGATCTCTGAAAAGAGATTCGAATTGATTCATTCATCTAGGGGGTTCCTTGATTCAGAGTTTGTGCAGGGAGAAGGTTGATCGATCTACTGTGGTGAACTGCAGCTAGCTGTCTGGGCCAGTCGTTGATCTTTAGGAGGTTTGATATCTGTACTATTTCAGAATTTAGGAAAAGAGATTCGAACTGATTCATGATTCATTGCGTTCTCCAGGTTCATTCAGTTCCATTTTGGGACACTATCTTTAGAGGGTTTCTCAATTCAGGGTTTGTACAGAGAGGAGGTTGATCGATTTACTGTGGAGAACTGGAGCTAGCTCTCTGGACCAGTCACTGATCTTTAGGAGGTTTGATGTCTGTACTGTTTCAGGATTTAGGAAAAAACATTCGAACTGATTCATGATTCATTGCGTCCTCCAGGTTCATTCACTTCCATTATGGGATATTTCATCTTTGGGGGTTCTTTGAGAGGATCTAGGGAGGTTCGGAATCTATATAGAGAAGATCGATCTATTTAGTGTGGAGAACTATAGCAAACTTTCTGAATCAGTAACTGATCTTTAGGAGGTTTAGCGTCTGTACTGTTTCAAGATCTAGGAAGAAAAGAGTAACTACTAGGTCACTTTATCTTTAGGAAGGTTCAAAGTTTGTATTGAATGATCCAGGATCGGAGGAGAGAAATTTGTAACTGGATTTCTTTCTGAACCTCTGGTTGATATTCAACAAGTTTGAAGTCGATGCTGAATGTTTAGGGATACGCATCAATTCATGATTTTATAGGTACAGTCTCTAACTCTGTAGGTTTCTTTCTGGACTGGAGACTGATTTTTAGGGGCTTAGATGTTGATTCTGTATGTTCGAGGTTTCGGAGAAAGGATTGGAATTGTTTAATTGTTTGACGACTGTAGCTTTTACGCATTTATAACTTTCACTTCGTGGATTTGTTATTTTCAAATCAATGCAAATCAATGCATTATTGCAGAAAAATTTATCATTTTTTAGACTGATCATTAGAGTTAGGGTTTAAAAGGTCGAGAATGTTAAAGGGAGATTAGCTTGTGTACAAGATGATGGTTCTTAATTGTTCGAGGAGAATGTTTTTTATCAAGAAATGGAAAACGAATCAAATTCCCTGGATCAGTGATTGATCCAGGTTTTGTAATGATTTTTGGGTTAGGTAGTATTTAAGGCGTTAGATCGGTGATTAATTACCATTAACGATTCTAATAATCATTAAGCTTCCTGGATTAGGTTCCCGTCCTTTAACTCATACAGTATATCTTTTCTCAAATTAACACTCTTCTCCTGTAAGAAAGATTAGGTTCAATTGAATTGTCAGAAATGAACTTTTAATTGCGCTTTGTTGAATCGTTCTTTAATCATTTTTACATAAAGAACATCCTTTATACAAAGAAAATTTTATCCATTGACTATTGTATATACATATTCATTGAATATTCAATATTATTACATTAAGTCTGATTTATAAAAATCTTGTGTACTTCAATTAAACATATTACATCTAAAGCGTAATCGAACACGCGAGACTAACGGGTGCAGCGATTATTTCAGAGCAATACAATCAATCAATTTTAATTACATTTATTTGTAACCTCACCCGTGATTGTTCAATTCGTTCTGATTTGTTTTCAAGAACGTGGTTCCTCTCGTTGAATTTCAGTGCGTGTGCCTGACCAGTTCGTCAGATTTAACGGACGAATTCGTCCGAGGTCTTAGGTCGGGGTTTGTTTCGGATTAAGAGCTTTAAAATAACAAACCAGCTTAGGGTAACGCGTTACAGTTCATCTTCAAACGAATAACAATGCTAGGCAATACCAGGATGTTCCGTGGTCGGAGCCATCTTTCGAAGATCAAACTATTTTAATAACGTTTAACAATCTTGTTACAACAACTCGACAATGTTAAGTATTACTAACGAGTACATTCACACATCGTTCTTGGTTTTTAGCCTAATCGATTTCTAAGGTTTTCGAGAGGCATACGAGTCTTTTCGCGATCACCGTTCCATTTTTCCTATTTGCAACCCCTTGTCTTATAATATCGTGTCAGGCTCGTAGTGAAGATTTCAAATGTAATGCAAATTATAATCATTATTCGATTCCTTCGAGTATAAATAGCCGGCAACGTATTGGCCACTTAGCCCAAACGCCGGCTTCATTCACTTGTATCTGATCAATGAGTAACTAAAAAAAATATTCAAAATATTATACATTTTCGTAAAATAGTACATTTTAATTGCATATTTGTCATATCCAGAAATTCGCATTATTGCAGGGCCGGCGCCAATGTGTTACCTTTTCTCGTTATTAATTTGTATGGTTCAGGGTACATTTAAACGCAAAAAGAACATGGAATTTGTTATATTTCTAGTAACTTATTAACGATAAGCAGTTTCAACAAGTTAAACTGTGAAACCGAAAGGACCGTTAACTAAATTAATTTGTTATTTTTGTAAATTATTGAGCAAGTGCCACTGCGATGCTAGATCTTAAGGCAAGGGGTTAATCGGCTCACGAACATCGAAACTTGCAATATCGTCGTTAGATGTGTTCATAAGTCTAGATTATAATCTTTAGATACATAGTTTTTGTTACTAGAGTACTGCACACGTAGCGTGTCGCGTTTCTTGATACGATTCCGCAATAAATCCCTCATTTGCCGCAACCTCGTAGGATTCCAATAGAGTACAACTTCTTCTTTACACTCGCACTGTCCGCTCGGAAATTGTGTTACCGTACTTCGTATAGGTTCTTCGTGGTTCTCGGGTAACCGTAGTTTTTTAATAGCGAAAAATATATTTTTTTATGAACGACGTAGATTAAACACGGACACACTCTGTACATAGGGAACACGTCTGCCAATCCTTCTGCCGCGATTGAAATTCTTCCTTTTCATCGGCGAAAGCGTTCGCATCCCTACAATCAACGAAAGAAACATCGATTCCGGGTTTCTTCACATTTTCACGGTACATTCGCGAGTCGGGAACCGATCGCTCTAAGAGAAACGACAAAAATGGCACTTAGTAGACGTACAATTTATTAAGCAGACTTTTTACCGTCGATGAAACAATTGAATAATGTGCAGTCAACAATGCAAGTGTTCGAACAGCATGGTAAGAAATCAATCGCCATTAAGACGTTCACGTCGGCGATGTAATTTATGTTCTCTCCCATCCGACAGCGGAATTATTATATTTTTTGGAATTACTAAAATTATCAATAACTAAATTCGTCATCAATTATGGTGATCATCATTTATATTAAATAAACTGTTTTACATCACGTCTGACTTCAATAATGGACTCTAAAATAATAAACTGTCGTTAACAACGAAACGTACAATTTATAAAATTGACAATCCACATGGTAGACCGCATAAATGGCAATTTTTTTGTTTTATCAAACGCATTTAATGAACTACACATTTTATGGTACACGCCATCTGATGTGACATTCAACTGTTGACCACCGATGACACACGCTGGCGTCACCACGTTGAAAGAATTGTACACCGTATATTGCTATTTATTGGAACAATTTGCGTCCATGGTACATATAATAAAATTGTAAAAATATTTAGCAATACGGGGACAAGTTATGGGATATTTATTACTTCTAAGCATGCGTGACGTTCGAATAGTTTCGTTGCCGACTGTAACTGTAACATTGCAAGGTACAGCGACAATTATCTTTTTTCTTTTTCTTAGAATAATGAAAGGAAAACACCCCGCGAAAACGGTATTTTCGTAACGAAAGAATGATGTTCCTTTCCAAGCATCGCCCGGAAAAACGAATATTTCAAACGAATTTTCTTTCTATTTTTTATACCCTGTACACCGAGAGCAGCAAGGTTCATTAGCTTTAATCGAGCTTAAATCGTGAAGTCCGACACGATTTCGTTTCCGTCGTAGCACTCGAAATAATTCCAGGATCGTGTCTCATCTCCTTCGTTGTAGAATCTTTCGGAGTTCGAAGAGTTAGGGCTCGGATTGTTTCGAAACAATTTATTCTTAGAACCTCGAAGAGTTAGGCCTCGAATTTTTTCGAAACAATTCATTCGTAGACACACCGATGAATAATCCATTATATACTTCGTGTACATCAAGTAGACTTGTTTCTAAAGGAACGAGAAATCAGAAAACTAAGAGAACATTTGATCGAACTGAAGGGCTAGAAAATATTCGACGAAGTTTCAAGCGTTTCCCATTGACGTTTAATCAGAGAGATTACATAGTGGATTTCACATGAGATCTGTTGATCAAAGATCTGTTCTATTACCGAGGAAAATGAGTCTCGTGTCTCGAAGTCAGCGTGAAAACCGCGACGAATTAGTTTCTTAAGAGTTTCTTAACACTTTGACTGTCGAGTCACTCGAATTCAGGGGACACGATTTTTCGTATGGATATAACGCTTTGCACTCGAGTGACAACTTCGAATCGCCATTACATTTGACAGAATACAATTAACAAATCACAAATTTTTGCTGTGATTTTCTTTAAGGAGCGGATGAAGGTTAAGAAACTAGAGTGTGTAAAGT